TTGACCAAACTGTTGCACAGTGTTTCTGCTTATCAGAAGCATCTAGTGCGCTTGGCTTCCCAGTGTCGACCCCGGATGAAGAACGCTTGCGGACTTCTTGTGGGTGTGGCTCCCTCGAAGATTCCCACGGGACACCACCATATCAGCCAGGGTTTTGTCAACGCGATTCCTTGCCTTTAGGGCTACCAGTGTCGACAACCGCGAGTTCCTGGCAGCTCTGGTTTAAATTTGGAAACTTGCTTCTGATTCGAGTTCGCATTGGCTCAATAAACCGGCCTCAAGACAAACCCCCTCATGATTTTATCATGATCAAAGTCAGCCCTAAAGTTTGGCCTTAAGCGGCTTCGGAAGGTTCAACAAAGGTACTTTGGACTTGAACTCGCTTGGGGTAGTTTACTTCAAGCGGGACGGAAGCTCCTTGCCGCGGGAAAAGCGACGCTTGGATTTGGGCTCTTGGGTACCAACCTCGAGCCTGGGGGCTGGAAGATCAAGTCTTCTATTCCCAAAGTCAAACAAGTTCAAACTTCACCACGGAACTTGCCTGCCTCCTGCCTCCAAAAGGTGATCGCAGGGATCCAAAAAAAGGTTTCTGTACCGCAGGGGCCAATTTGGTGGGACCCCGATGGGTGGGACCCCGATGGGGGCCCCGAGGAGTAATTTGGTGTCCGGAAGTCCCAGAAAGTCCCAGAAATAGTCCTTGAAAGGCAAGGCCTCCGAGAAAAGTTGTCTTTTTTTTTTGTTCTTTTATTTTTTTTGTCCAACTATGAAGGGGGGCGACCCATACACAAAAGAAACAGCAAAAAATATAGGAAAAACAAGCACTGGCATGAATGGGACTGATCTGAGGGCTGTAGACTCTGATTTTGGCGGTTGGAGGTGCAGCTGGCCGCCGAAACGGAGGACGAGGCGAGCCGAGCCGTGGATCGCTTCGTGGCGCCGTTTATCGGCGCTGGCAAGTGCAGTCGTGCAGTCGGTGGAAGCGAGGTATTTTCCATTTGCTTCAGAATATGTTGTTGTATTTTCCCTTGTTGGTTTTAAAGGGAACCTAACACTACGTATACTTCCATTTACTTAAGAATATGGTTTATTTTCCCTTGTTGACTTTAAGGGGAATCGGTTTCACTGGAAGTATTGTTTCCAGGGGGCTTAAGCAAATGGATACTGGATGGCGTGGGTCAACATTAGTCAACACCAATTGGACCGCAGGTTTCAATGTCCACGTTTCCATTTACGCGGGCAAGCCATTTTGGGGTTGCCCTAATTTCGACCCACAGCCACACTTGGGTTTCGTTGCTCCCTGAAAAGTCATTTGAGAACTCGACCTGAGCCACTAGCTCAAAACCCAGGTAGATGAAGGTTTTTCGGGGCAGTCCCGGACAGAACACTCGGGGCCGTGGAATTTCTTTACCTGGATCTGGGTACAACGGTACACCATCTTAACACCAGGTTTGAATGGTGACTCACATGCACTTGAATGGAGGTTCTTTCCTCTACCCTCGTTTTGCCGGACTGGTGCAAGACTCATCGCAGGCTTCCGCGTTGCGTTGGTTGTTGTTTTTCCACCGGCTGGGACCCGCAGAAAAGATTAAAGTTTTAGAAGCAATGGCTGGAAGCCCGATTTCCCTGAAGCCTCGTAACGCCAACTGCCACTTCCCTACCTAGTTGATCGGAGTCGGTTGGTTTCCTTGTCAACACAGTGCAGCTTGTAGCTATTCTAAACCTACAGGAAAGTGGCACACACACACACACACACGTCGGGGAGGCGGCAGGACGTGGACGTGGCAGGGTTTTAAAAAGAACGACGGTTGAACAGAATGAACTTGGCATCACGCCCTGGAAAGTCTGCCCAACGTGTCTCCAGTGTTTGGCGACGGCTTGAAATCGACGTTCGGACGTCTAGCGTTTTTGCGGGGACTCAAGGTCAACCATACCCTAGACCCGCTGGTGTTCTCTTCAGTTGGGTTAAACATCGCTTGGTTTCAATTTGGTTCGAATCATCTCGTCATATATTTGAGTCATATCCTTAAAAGGGCATCTATGGCCCGACCAGGAACAGCGGATGAACTTGCCACGGTCTTCCCCGGGTCAGGCGAATCGATTGGGCCTCTTGAAGTCAGGCTTGCTCCCTCCACAAGATGGCCCGACCGGAAAATAATATTGAACTCAGTGGCTTGGTCTCAAAAGGACGTGAAACGAACCAACTGGCAAGAGATTCCCTTAAGAGGCAGGAGTTCAAAAACGTATGTCTATTGAATATCCATTTGGTATCATTCCCTCCGTTGCCGATAAATTCGGTCGAATGGGTTTGGCCCCGGATTGCCGGGAGGCAAATGACGAGCTGGGGGCCGGTAACACATTGGACATGGTGAAGGTCCTTTGGCAAGCGGGGTTCCTTTTTGTTGATGTGGGTGTGTCTTTTTGTCGGGGACCTTTGAGAACGGGTGGCTTTGCTTTTGGCTTCATTTTAAAACAAAAGGGTACCCTCAAAGAAAACAACCCCATGTGTCACAACAATACAAATGGTTTTCACCAAGGTGAAAGACCCATTTGCAGGACGTGTTTTGAAGAGGGACCCCCTTTTTGTTTTGAAGATGATTTTTTTTGTGGGCTCAAAGGGACACAAAAGGAAAGCCACAATGTATTTTTTTGGGGTGCCCTAAAAAATGCACACAGGCACTTGCATGCCGCATGGCTGTTTGAGGTCAGATTGATTTAAGTGAATCGCACAGGTCTCTGCTTGAATTCTCACTTACCAGTGGAACACGCCGCACTGTCCAATGGAACAAGAGGTACCAGCGTTGAGCGTGTTTTTTGTTTAAACAACCAGATCCTGCCTGCTCTTCAAAGGGACATTGTTCTAAACCATAGGTGTCCTTTTTGGTTGTTTGGTCGAAAAATAAATGGCCCTGGTTTACCTGGTGGCTTAATCATCTAACAGGGCCATCTATTTGCCCCAAAAGGCGGCGGTGAAAGAACCGAGGGCTTCGGCGTTTTTCCAAGACAGGGGATCCCACGCGTCTCAGGGTCCGCACATCAGCTCGCCGGTGGGCGTTCCACCCACGCCAGTGGAGGCGAGGTCAAGGGCGAGAAGGGTATGTGCCCAGCAGCCACTTGCTGTCTGGCAGTATGTTGTTACCCTCCAAACGTGATGAATCAGTGATGAATCCCCACTGAAACCACTAAAGCAGGCACACACCCCAACATAAACCGGGGTTTCTTACTCCGGGTTTCTCCCAGAATCAACACCATAGGTGTTCTTTTCTCTGGTTTTGGTGAGGAAAAACAGAGAGCGATTCCTGGTTTACCTGGTGGTTTAATCATCTACCAGGGCCATCTATGTCCCCTCAAAGGACACCTATGATTGAGTATATCCGGGGGTCATCAAAGTCGGAAACTCAGGTTGTTCCCCTGAACCTACCAGTTGCGGGGTGACTTTGACAATCCTGAAAGAATGGAGGTGTGTGTGAGTTTATAGTTGAGTGTGGGGTTGGGTGGAGGGTCGGGGTTGGGTGGAGGTTGAGGTTGGGGCTTGGGTTTTACAGGACACCACCGAACAAACCAACAATTCGGCTCCCTGGGCCCGTTGTCTCCAGCTTTGGGCTCGCGTCACCTCGAGGTGGAGAGCCTCGAGCCGGCCGCGGATTCCGCGGACGGATCGGAAGTTCCGGCCGCGGCCGCCGCGGCGCCGGAAGGTCCGGCGCGGCCGCGCGAGCCGGGGCGCCGCGCGCTGGAGCAAGAGCCGGGAAGCCCAGAGCAGGGCGAGCAGGGCTTGCGCGCTGGGGGTGGAGCAAAACAGGTGGACAATTTCGTTCTTGGAGAGAGTTTGGGGCCCCCTTTTCTTGGTTGAAAAATCATGTTTTTTTTGGTTGAAATGGGTGGGCCCCCCTTTTCTAGAGGGTTTGAAAGGGGAACCAAAAGGAAACGAGTCGTAAAATGGGTCCCCTATTTTGAGAAACATCCACATGGGGCATACCCATGTAAGTCGCACCAGGAATTGGACTGCAGGTGTGAATGTTAATGTTTCCATTTTCCAAGGCAAGCCATTGTGGGGTTGCCCTATTTCTGACAAACACAGCGACATTGAAAATCTTAGGAGGAGCAGCGCCTCCCGTATTGTTAGGGGGGCCGACCATCCGCTGAACACTTGTGATTTGGGGGATACTTTTCACCCCTATAGTTGCATACAGCGCGGTTGCTCTCTTTAGCAAGCAAGGCAAATGCAATGGAAAATGGGGGGGGTTCTTGTCACGGAATCCAAGTTTGACACGTTTACGACGCGTAGACTGCGGTGCGCACCTGGTGAGGGGGTGTGGGTGAGCATACATGTATATGTATATTTACGTGTGTGTGTATATATATATATATATACAAATGGGTGTGAGCATACACGTGTGTATATATGAATATATAATCGAGATATACATATGGACATGATTGTAGCTAGTCATATCGACTAATTAGTGATCAGCGCAATTCTGATACCAGGACCAGTCTTCTTGCGCGTGCGCAGCTGAGCAAAATTTTTGGATCCAGGTGTGAGCGCCTGGACGCCGACCTGCAGCGGGTAGCAGGTCAGGTCGGAGTCGAGGGGTTGGGGGGGGGGGTTAATCCGCTGAAAGTTTTTGGGTTGTCGTTTTTTTGGGGGGGGAGGGGGGTTTGCATTCTTGTGGCTTGAGTCTTCTGATCCTTAGTTGTTGTTTGGTCTTTTTCGAGGTGTGGCGTTTCTGTGGCTTCAGTCCCCTGCTCCTCGCAAAAAATATTGTTGTGTCTTGCGTTCTTTTTTCCCTTTTCGAGGTTTCCCGTATGTTTTTCTTCAGGGAAGCCTCTGGTTGGATTGGTGGGAACTGGATTTGGATTTGAGCCCCTGGCTTTTGTGGTTGAGTCCCCGCCCTTAGTTTGTTGTTGTCTTTTTCCCATGGCGTCCGTTTTTCCAGTATAATTTGAGGGTTCCCTTTAAGAAACATGGCCGGGTTGTGGCATCCCTCCTTTTTTTTTTGTGTGTGTGTGTGTGTTTGAGGTTGCCCTGTTCCGGTTGGTTTCAAGGGAAACCAAAAGGAAAAAACAAAACACCACATTTGGGAACCCTTATGTTATGCCGACATCGCCTTACGTGGAGGACACCACTTGGGGAGGGAGTTCTGCGTTAGACGGATTTTGTCGGGTTCAGGGTGGTCTCCCAATCTCCAAACCGCCAATCCAAGCCACTACTAGGTCCCCCAGTAGTGCCCTTTTCCCTTTTTTTGGAACCCATACTAAAAAGACTACAGAAAAACAGTTGGTACCCTTATTCTAATCTCTGTACTGGAGGACCTAGACCAAGCAAGGGGGTTGCTTTTGGAATGCGGCTGGGTTGGACACTCAACAATGCCAACAACTTTCGGAACGCGTGTGCTTGCCCCCCAGCAAGCTGACTCGATGCGCCAGACGAGTACCACCGCCTGCTCTTGGAGCGCCAGAAGGCCTTCGAGGCCGCGTCCGTCGGAAGTCCGGGCGGAAGAGGCCGCGGCGATTCCCCAATGAACCATGGAAATGTGGTGGTTCTGGCTTTCCAGTCCGGATACACGAGAGAGAGCGAGAGAGAGAGAGAGAAAGCAAGAGAGAGAAAGCAAGAGAGAGAGAGAGAGAGAGAGAGAAAGAGAGAAATAGAGAGAGCGAGAGACAGCAAGAAAGAAAGAAAGAAAGAAAGAAAGGAAGAAAGGAAGAAAGGTAGGAAGAAAGGAAGGAAGAAAGAAAGAAAGAAAGACAGCAGGGTCCAACATGAGTCCATCAGCCAAGCCGCTGACAGGCTGAGGCAGTTCATTTGAGTGTCTTTTTCGAGATGGTAACCTTTTTTTAGGTAACTAGGGATCCTTACGTTTCTCCTTTCCCGGGGTCTCACAACTTGTTTTTAAGGGTAGACCGAGTCTGAAGCAGAATCAGAAGGTCTGATCTTCTGCGTACCCCAGATTTGGTCATTTCATTCTTGGGAGAAAGAAAACGATGTGCTGCTGGGTGAAATTTGAAGATGAGAGCGGCCAGGGAATTTATAGAGGAACAACAGCTCCTGGCCACAGTTGCTTCAGGCGTTGGAGCCTGTGAGGCGGGGTTCTCGGAGGTGGTTGTCCTTTGCCCGGGGGAGGGGGGGAGGGGTTTTGGGGGAGGATTTCTCGGCCAGAGAAGTTTGAGAGGCGCAAGAGGGCATTTCATCTCTTGGTTTTTGAGAGGGGTTTCCCTTTCACTTGAAATTCCCGGAGGGCCCCCCACAAACCAGGGAGGGGTGTGTGTGTTAGGTTGCCATTTTTTTGTGAGATCGTGGGTTGCCGGGGGGTTGCCGGGTTCTTTGTTTCACATTTGGGATTTTCTGAGATCAATCCTCCTTTGACACGTATCGCCCAGATACCCTTGTACAGTATGTCTCTTTTGCACGGTATCCTGCAAGGAATCCTGACAGTAGCCTTTCCCCGAGCTCCAACCATCAAGCCCGGACAGTCAGAGAGGACTGGAATGGACCTCACCCAGTCAACCTACCCCCGAAAAGTTGGGCATCCCCCAAAGTTCTGGGGCATATCTCAACTTTCGGGAAGCCACGTCCTCGAAGCCGATTCGGGTAGATGAAGGTTAACCATCCCAGCCAGAAATAGCTGCGGATATCCGCCTCCTTAATTCTTGAAGCATGGTTCTGGGATTAAGACCATTTTAGTGCCGTTTTTTTTTTTAATTGTCTCTTGCCACATGGAAGCTAGTGAGGGGACTTTGTGGCATCGGGGATCAGGTTCAAATGCGCCCGGAATCCTCCGGGCTAAGCCCGCTGCGAGCCCCTGGCCTTCGGTCACTGTCGACCGATTTCACGGTTGGGGCTTCACTCTTTCCCCCGCCCCCCCCCCCCCCCGGCATTTTCGCATGAATCATGGGCACCCTCAAAAAAATGGATCAAACGGTGGCATGGACAACATCCACTGCTTGGGGTGGATGAAGCTCAATCGGATGCGTCTGGACGTGTCCAAAGAATAACATCAATTGGGCCCCCAAAAAAATATATCGAAAAATGGCGGTTCTCCTCTTGGCGAATGGGGTTCCTTACTCTAGTATCTGTTTTGTAAACCGGGGCGAATTTCTCTGGTTTTTCAGGTCTTTTGGGCGGCGGGTGGCGAAAGGCATCCATCCCTTGGCGTGCCGTCGCGAGCGAAGGCCGGCGGCGCCGGCCTTCGGCATGCATGCCGCGCCGGCGCCTCTGCCCATGCCCGGGCCCTCGGGGGAGAAGTTTGAAGGGGGTCAAGTGGCCTGGGCCTTTTGAAGGGACGAAAAGGAGATGGGGGTGGATCAAAAGAGAGCGGCGCAGGAAATCAGGACAAACGATTTCTTGGGTGCAGAAACCCAGGGTTTAGGACGTACCCTTCTGGATCCAGAATAGTTGGGAACCCAACATGGTTTGGTCAATGGAATCATTGTTTCCTGCGGTCCAAGTCCTTTTGAAGGGACAGACCACGACTTTGTCACTTGGTCGGAGTTGTTCTTCTGGCAGAAAGAGGCAACCCTTGAAACCTCTAGCTGCTCAAAGCATGGTTGATCAAAAGGTCCTCACGGATTGACCTGTCGGGAGCTGGGGTATCCCAGTGGAGTTCACCAAGGACCGCGCTGATTTTATCCACTGTGGGGTGTGGCAATCAAAATTAAACGATCGGAGGGGCAAACCGCAGGTTTTGAAGTCCATGTTTCCACTTACCAGGGCAACCCATTTTGGTATTCCGGCTTTTTGGTTGCCACAGCCATGTCCTTGGGGGAAACGCGCAACTTTGATGTCGCAACAAGTCGTGGTGCCCACGCTATCGGTTTCCCTTCCAGAGCTCCCCACGCACCGGGGGGGATCTCTAGGAGACTCTAGGGTGGCACCCGCTCAATGGTTGGACATGACGCCCCAGATTAACCTCTTACCTCTTAAAAACACGAAGCTTTTCTCAACTGGTTGGGTAACATGGGCTTTATGTCTGTAAAAGATTAACTTCCCCAGGGCTGGAGTTTTAACGGGTAAGTGGTGCAACCCAAATCTCCCGCAATTTCCCGGAATTGGCCGCATGGGCCGCCAACTTCCCAAAAAGTGGCCATTTAGGGAAGCAGGTCATCCCATCCCGGAAATGGGCGATTCCCCTTGCAGCTCCCGCAACAAGCAACACGGGGGAACTGAGCCGCAAAAAGAGAGTACTTTTGCCCGTACTCGCGTCTCGGTTCCTTCAAAGGGTTTGTCTCAACATGGCTTCCCCTCTTTTGTGGGATGGTAGTAAAGTTCCAATAGCCGGAAGTCTTTTGATTCATATCCGTTTTCCCGGCCGACGCCCACAGCCAGTTTCCGTGTGATACGGGGGGTGGACAAAACCCGCTTCGAGTTGGTAGGTGGGTGTATCCCTGCATTCGCCTGCAAGGTTTTGTCCATCCACAGTAGGGGCTGGTTTTGCAAAAGGTATGGAAAGAGCAGCAGGCGTTGGGGGAAAACATCTTCGAAGGATCCAAATAGCATAAAGCCGTTGGACATACTGTGCATGGACGAAATCCTGCACCACCTAAGAAACCCTGGAACGATGACTCCCCTGTAAATACCAACAAACAGTGGTTTCCCATGGTTTCAAAGTGGTGCAGAAATTTCGTCCATCCACAGTATGTCATATGCCCACAAAAACACCCTGGGGGGCTTCTCTGACTGGAGTCAAATTTGGTCTGTTTCTGTGGCCAAAGTCACAAAATTGGGCTGTTTGCCTTTGACCTTACTTGGGGGGTGACTTTGAGAGAAAAACGAGCCCAGTTCTCTGAATACCTTCTGTGGTGGTTTAAATTTGGAAACCAAAAGGACACTGTTGCGCCATCTTCGGGTCCCGCTAGTTTGACACATGCCCACAGGGGTTTCACTGAAATTCCGAGAAGGACCAACAGTCTTCGGTTTGCTCAGGCACATTCGGGCCACCTTGGGCGCCACTGGCATGCAGGCGGGAAACGTTTTTTTTCCTTGTTTGTATATCGCTGTTTTTTTTGCGGTGGCCTAATTTGGAGTTCCCTTACTTGCTTACGTCAGGTAACCCTGAATTGGAGGCTTGGATTGGTGGTCTGGGGATTTGACCCCCTTGCCTTTGCAGAGGGTGAAATAGGATACCCCCCCCAAGCCTCCAAACCACCAATCCAAACAACCCTTCATGAGGAAACCTGGTTGCTTCCCGAGTTTTGGACTTTGACTTTGTTGGGAAGGCGATCTTTGTTTGTCAGCACAAAGTTCTGACTTTATTGGACCACCCAGAAAAACAAGTTTTCTGGGGGCTGCAAAGAACTTCAGGGCCCGCGCAGTCAGGTTTCATTTTGGGTGGACACGCTTCCCATCTGAGCGGGGCTTCTCCGTCTGCCTGCCGTCTTCACGGCGAAACAAGTTTGCTGACTGTGGGAAAGCGTGGGGTTAGTCAATTATGGTCCCCCAACCTCCCAAAATGGTTCTAATCAGGTGACCCCCAATTGCTTCCATTTGCTTCACACATTTTTCGTTTTTAACATTCCCTTGTTGTTTTTAAAGGGAATCCATCACTACAGGACACGTTTTCTCATGTTTCCATGGGGCGAAAAAGCAAATGGAAGATTGGCGGTTGGGTGAGGGTAAATGGAACACCAGCCCACCTCCAAACCGGGCTCCAAGCCACCTTTTTGGAGGGAAGCTGATTTGGGTGTGGGGGTTGAGTCGGCCATCGTTCTTTTCAAGAACCGATCGCCATTTCCCCAGGGTCTTTGGTGGTTTTCTAGAAAGAAGGATCCCTGGAAAGAATGGGGAAGTTACCCCTAGAGTGGGGCCAACAAAGTTGGTAGCCCCAAAATGTACACAAGTGCTGAAGCCTGCGGTCCAATTCCCGGTTTGATTTTGACCCCTACCCCTGTGGGATGACCATGGGGGAAAACCACTAAAATGATGATAGATTCAACCACTGAATGGCAAGAGTTGCCCATACCCACACCCATACCCACACCCATACCCATAGCCACACCCATACCCATGGTCATTTGGACCCATACCCATCCAAGAAGGCAGACCATTTGGGTTGCGCAGGCGCCGGTGTCTAGGGCTACGGTGCCGCAGGCGGGGCGGGAGCTCAAACGGTAGCAGGTTCCGCGCGTTGCTGCCGCCGTAGACTTAAGTACTAGTACCGTTCTCTGTATTTGCTGTTCATTATTTATTTTTCTCATTGTTTTTCTCTTTCGCTTTCTCTTTCTCTTTATCTTTCCTGTTTCTTTTCTCGCCTCACTCTCTCTCTCTCTCTCTCTCTCTCTCTCTCTCTCTCTCTCTCTCTCTCTCTCTCTCTCTCTCTCTCTCCGTCTCTCTTCACATTTCTCTTTAGATTGTTTTTCTTGGTTTCATTTTCTCTTGTATTTCAGTATCCGTGTATAGATGTATCGATCTAACTAACAAATCCAATCTATGAATCTGCTCTATGTATCCATAGTTCTGTCTGTTTATTTGTTGATCCATCTACCTATCTGTCGATGCTTCTACATGTATCCATCTATCCATCTACTTAATCTATTTATCTATCTAACTAACCAGCTTATATAACTAATCTAACAAATCTAAGCTAACTAAAAGCCAATTTAATCTAATCTATCTATCCATCCAGCCATCCAGCCAGCCATCCATCCATCCATCCATCCATCCATCCATCCATCCATCCATCCATCCATCCATCCATCCATCCATCCATCCATCCATCCACCTAACCAGTCTATCTATTCATCTATCTACGTAATCTATGTTTATCCTATATATAATTTCCTAATCCTGTTTAATTCCAATTTAACCTACTCCAATCCAATCCAATCCACCTATCTATTTAATCTGTTTATCTATTTGTCCGATCTATCTAGCTAGCTATCTATCTATCGATCTATCTATCTATCTGTCTGCCTCCATCCATCCATCCATCCATCTATCCATCCATCCATCCATCCATGTATCTATCTATCTTTCTTTATTTCTTTCTTTTTTTTCTCTCTTTCTTTCTTTCTTCTCGGTCTATCTATTTAATCTATCTGATCTATCTACTCTATCTATTCTATCTACTCTATCAAATCTATCTCATATATCCAATATTTTTCTCGTTTCTTTGCCACCGATGGAGTTTCAGCTGCTTGAAACGTGTGGTTGTTCTGAAGGGCATCACGCCAACGGCAAAGGACTTGCCTTCTTAGTTGTTTACAAGCTTCACCCGGCAGACAATTTTTGTGGTGCTGTCCACCACAAACATGGGATGCAAAGAGGGAGCGCCCCCCAAACAAGGTCCCTCGCATGCTGGTGGGGGCTTCGTGATCTGCAGCCAAACAGTGACTAGATTAGTCCATGGACTTATCGGCTGATTTCTCCCAAAGACGCCTGGGTTTGTGTCTTTGAGATGACCCAACAATAGAACCCTTCAGACTACCCGACCGGAGGCTAAGCCCCGCTCGCCCAGCCTCTCGCCCGGCCCGCCGCAAGACGTGCCGGCCTGAAGTGGGAAGTTGGGCTGAGCTCGGAGATGTGGGTTGCCCCGTTTTTTTCATGTGTTTTTCCTTCAAAAGCCATCAGCCCTAATTGAATGGCCTCACTTTAAAGGAACAAACGTGCCGGTTTTCTTTTTTCATGTTTCGGTTTTTTCCTTCAACATCAGGTATTAGCAAAGCAAAGAGAGGGTCTCTTCTTGCGTGTCCACTTGGTTTGGTGCAGTGTGAAGGTGTTGCTTGGCTGGGTACATAAGAGTCTATTCAAGGGTTTCCGGGAAGGCAACGCCCATTGGGGTCTCAAGCATTCGTGTGTTTGGAGTTGTTTGTTCGGATTTCTTATGGCCATTCCAGAAAGAGAATACAGCTCTTTCCAACCATGGGTGCGCTGAGAGAATATTGTCCCCCCAAAAAGGTGCCAACACCGCCATTGGAATGGGGATCAAGCGCTTTGGCATCACGGAAAGGGAATCCATTTTCCACAACTTTGCTTCAGGCTGAGCGTTCCTCTATTTGGCGCAGCCTGGGGGGGCCATTGCACCGAATCATTACAAGATGATTGGTAGTCTACTGTCGTTTGGGGAAGGACGAGAAGGGACCACCCAACTCCCCACAGAAACTGCGGGGGGCGGGGGGGGGGGGGGCTGATTTATCGATGCTTTGTTCTTTTTTTTTTTGACAGTTGGTCACGAACGTGAGAAGGGTGACATTTCAGGCGACTGTGAAGAAAAAGCCTACTGGATTTACTGGGAAGCCAAGGCCTTTGTGTGTCTTCTTTTAGGGGGCGGTTTTCCTTTTGGGTTCTCTTAACCACGAGAAGAAGGGGTACCCTCAAGAAAAGACCTGGCTAACCATTTTTTAGCTTGCGGGTGAAACCGCTCGCAGGCTTGAGGATACCCCTGCGAAACTCCCCCACCCCCAGTTCGCCCAAACAAGACCCTAAGGCATTTGGAGTAAACCCAGGGCAAGGGGGGGGGGGGCTTGGTGAATTTGGCTGCGGGTAAAAAATAGATAGATACCCAAAATGGGTTGCCCTGGAAAATGGAGACAAGGATTCAATCCTGCGGTCCGTTTCCTGGTGTTGTCTAATTTGGACCCATACCCATGTGGTTGTCGCTAAAAAGGTCTGTTACATGGGATGACCATGGGGGGAAAATCACTAAAATGATGATAGATTCAACCACTGAAAGGCAAGAGTTGCCCATACCCACACCCATAGCCACACCCATACCCATCTCAGAACGTTCTCCCCTTGGGTTGCGCAGGCGGTGTCTAGTGCTACCCATTTCTTTGACCCTCCGCCGGCCTTTGGATCCTTCTGCCCGCAGCCGGGTCCGCGCGACGGGTCCGCGCGACCGGTCCGCGCGACTTGCCACGGCCATGGCGCCGCGGCCGGGAGCCCGGCGTGTCAGCGACGCCTGTGGTCCCGGTTGTTGGGGTCGCAGGAAATGCGATTCGGCGGACAGGGGAAGCCGGAACTATCAGGAAGGCACTCGCCGTTTCACACAAGGCCCACTGGCGATTTACTTTTTTTGTCGATGGTGGCTGAAATTCCGGGTTGAAACGGGTTGGCCGGCCCAACCCTTGGAAGAAGCCCACTTCGAAGTTAGTGCACCTGATAAATAAGAAAAACACCCATGGGCTATATAAGATCTCTTCTTGAGATGCGGTGTGTGCGATGTTTTTTAGGGGACCGCCCAAAAAGGTTGGTTTCCTTTGATTTCCCTTTAAAGCCTTCAAAACCAATCACCCCCATATCTGGTGAGTCGCGAGATCCAGTGTGCAATACATAGCCCTAGACCCGAATTTTTAACCCTTGCTTTGGTGCATTTTGCTTGGCTGTTAGGACTTTAACTTTTTGCCAACTAATGGGTTTTTCACTAAACCACTAAAAGTTATTCACTTTTAGCAGGGGAGCAGAAAGCAACCGAGCTTGGGTTGATTCCCTGGAGAGGCTCGATCATGTTACAATGGCCCCGGATCAACGAAAAATTTCCCGCGCTTCGGCCGGCTGAAGGCCCGGCGGTTCTTGGTTGCTATGCACGACCTTGCAGTGGGCTCCAACAGTCTTGTTTTTGTAGTGCTTGTAGTACAAAGAAGTGTTTTTTCTTCCCGGAGGCCTGTTTTGGCCAGTGTTCAATCGGACAAACCCATATCGTGTTTTTGTTTTTTTTGTTTAGAGTAAGCTGACTATGGGACATAATCAGAAAACATGTGTCTTGGAGTACCCTGGATTTGGGGCAAGCTTCAAGCTTGTTGGAAAAGACTGGCAATCGAACACGTGCAAGCAAGCCGAACCCAGGGTGCACAAGCCATTCATGGCTTACTCAAGGAAGAGGGGTGTGACCTTTGGACGAAAGACCAGAAACATGGGAATTGGGGGACCCGCCTACCTCCCAAAAAAGGTAGGGAGGATGGGCCTAAACTGGAATATCGGTCACAGGGTTGAAAACCTATTTAGCCAGTGGGTTTCAGTGCTTGCAAGCAAGTCCGCTAAACGATTCACTGCTGTGAATCATGGGAAATCAGCCAACTCTGAGGTCTCCTACTCCTCTTTTGGGGGGTGCGGGCGCGGACTCAATGGTAACATACACCCAACTGCTTGACCAATTTTATCTGGCGCGGCTACTTGACCAATTTTTTTTATCTGGCGCGGTCGCCTGTGGCTAAAAACAAGCCGCTCTGAACCTTCTTGGTGTACCTCAGAGTTGGGCCAAGCAATGGGCAACTTTTTCTGGTCCGGATCGCCGATTGCCCCGCCAAAAGCACGCCACCCGCGTGTTTTTTTTTTTTTTTTGCAGGCCCAACACAAATGTTGTTTTTTCTCTTTTTTCTTTTTTCTGTAGGTGGTTCTGCTACCAGGCTTTACCAAGGTTATAGAAAGGATTGTATGAGTGTTGCCCTCATTTTTTCTTTAGCCTTGTTGGCTGGTTTTGAGTGAAAAGGTCAATCCAACCTGCCTCAGGGCGCCCCCCAATATTGGAACCCCCCACATCAACCTTTACTCCACAGCTCAACATGGAACCCTTCAATCCCTACCCAATCTTTGGTGATCCTACTCTTTCGGGAGAGTTTGAAATCCCTTTTTGGGATTTCCGTGAAATTGTAGTGGAGTAAAACAGCACGGCCCTAAGCTTTTGACATGTGGGCGTGGGTCAAAGTTAAACCACCACGGACCGCATGTTTTAGTCCATGTTTCCACTTACCAGGGCAAGCCATTTCGGGGTTACCAATCTTTGACCCACAGCCATATGTCGCATGGGATGTGGACCCTTTTTTGGGGGGCCAAAAAGCCTCCCCAGCCAATTGGTTTCGGGTCCCTTTCCAGGCGAAGGATGATTGGCCCAGATCCCATGCTGTTTGCATGCCCAGATCCCATGCTGTTTGCATGCCCAGATCCCATGCTGTTTGCATGCCCGGATTCCATGCTGTTTGCAAAGCAAAGGTTTTTTCACCTGATTTCTTGGGAGAATTCGGTTGCCCAGAGGCTCCTGGGGCTTTCAATGGAAGACCCGACCCCTCCATTAGACACCCCGGAGGTGGTTGGGGTTCTCAAAACTAGGTTGTTTGAAGGCCCTAAATCAATCGAATTGGAGCCTCTGGGATGAAAGAGGTTCTGTTTGCCAGCGAGGTCTCCAACTTGTTTTCCCCAAGATCCCGACGAAGCCTAGGCCTTGGAGCCCAAGCGCTCGGGGGCAAGCGCCCCTTTCGCGCGGGCGAAAGGCGATTCATGGGATCGGGCCGCGGGGATGTTTTGCCACAGGATGGTCACACACGCGCATTTTTGTACATGCAAAAAAGGAACGCACATGCGCGTAGATATGCATGTATGCGTACCTTTATATATACATATATATATAGGTACATAGATACATATTTCTTCTTGGTTCCCGGTTTGCAACCGGCACCTTTAAAGGAGAGATTGGGACTTGGCGCACTGAAGGGGCACAAAGGCACGGTGATTTTCTCGCGGCTTGAGCCACGTGAAGAGAAAAGCTGGACTCAATCGAAGGGCTTGGGGTCGGGGTCGGATGTTGCTGCAGGATTGAACCCAAAAGTAACCAAAGAGCTGCCAGATCGAGATGGTTTGTTTCGTTCACCCAAGAAATCAACAGGGGATGTATTTTTTGTTGGTCACCAAAGCAGACATCTTAGGAGGGTCGAAACTTGGCTCTCGGCGGGTTGCCGCGCCCAAGCTTAACCAGGGTTCCATGGGCCCACTCCGATGGAGTTGGGGTGGTTGGATGTGGCAGGTTTCCGTCAGGTGTCAGTCCTGTCAGGTTGCAGGCAGCTTGGGAAAGTCACATGTGTTGACGGCCGAACATATCTAGGTCCCCCCCGGTAGTGCCCTTTTACCCTTTTTTGGGGGAGGGTTCCCCTTCTAAAATAGACTACAGAAATAAGGGTACCCTTATTCTAACGTTCTAACCTCTCTACTGGAGGACCTAGAATCTCTGTATTTTCGGGGTCAGGAATGCGGTTCCGAGAGGCCTCCGTTGCTCCAGAATTGCACTTTCCGAGGAAACACGCACATCGGTTCAGAGTAGGCTGGCACGTCATCGTGCCAGCTGTCAAAGTACTTGACATCATATGCGCGATCACTAAGGATTTTGGACAGCAAACAACACACATGTATACATATATATATATGTACATACATACGTGTATACAATATATATATATATTGTTTATATAATATATATATATATATATATATATATATATGTATATATTGTTTATGCGTTTGCAGGGGTAACGGAACATCTTGTTTGCGTTGGTACTGCGGATGGACTTAAAACAATGCACCGGTTTGTAGCTGCTGTATCCCAGGGGCTTATTCATCCTGGTTGATTTCGAAATCCAGACACCCCAGTGCCCTTGTTTTTCCTTGGTTTTCGCTTTGAACACACACCAAGCAGAGGCAGCTGACTCCTTTTCCCTCCCAATGCGCTGATCCTATGCCCCACACGACTAGCAAGGCCCGGGGGCTGATAGGTTCCCGCCCCCTTTCTTTTTTTTGTTTGGGGGGGGGGGTCCCTGGACACCCCTCCCCCCCGGACAGGTTCTCTTCCCCTTTTTTTGTTTTTTCATTTATTCATTGTTTTTTTTTGGGGGGGTCCCTTGACACCCCTCCCCGTTTTTTTGTTTTGTTATTTTTCTTTCGGGGCGGGTGGTCAAACCTCTGGAGACCCTGACAATAGCAGGCCCTGGCGGCCGCCGCCGCTTTGTGGCCGGGGCCGTCGTCGATCGGATCGGGTCGGAATTGCTTCGCCGGAAACGAGACAAACGAGGCGAGTCTCGTTGGACCCGGAGAAAAACGAAACAAAGGGACGCCTTTCCTTACCAACCCTATGTTAGATGCATGGCTCTCTTTGCGGCTTCTGGCAAATGTTAAGAGAGAAGCTCAAAGCGCCAAGCGAAAAGAAAGACTTGGTTTGTGCGAACTCGAGCCTTCCACGCGTGGATCCCCGAGGTCAAAGGATTTCCCCTGTGGAGGCGAGTTTCACGGTCAGAAACAAAATTATCTGTAGATGGGCGTTATATGACGTGTGATCAAACCAATGGTACTATTTTGGGGTAGGTGAGTTCACCACCCATTTAGAAAAAAAAAAGCTAGTGGTTGGATTGAATCGGATGTTCACTGGGGGTACGATTTGGCGTTTGACGCATGGCCATATGACGTGTGATCGAACTGTCCGGACAGCTGAAACATGACGATATGTCCATCGAGAAGCTACCTGGCTGTGGCGATTCCTTCAAGGGTGGAATCGCTACAGGGAAACCAAACTAAGTGGTAATGGGGGACAATGTTGACCCCGGATGAATAACCCCCTGTTTATTAATATGGGGGTGTTCCCCTCCAAAAGTGATAAATCCCCACTAAAACCGGGGACACCCCCATATTAATTAACAGGGGTTTATTATTCCGGGGTCAACATTACTTAAAATACGTCTGGACGCGACAAGGTGCGGCGCCGCCTTGAGCTTCGTGGGCGGCAGAGGCCGGAGGGACCACATGGCACATGGCATGGGGATGAGCCGAGGTGCCCTGGGCTGGGTGCGGTCAGTAGGCAGCGGCCAACGGGGGAATTTCAGCTAGGGGCTGCTTCCAAACCCTTCCTCTTCATTGTCGTTGGGAAGCATTTTTACCATTTTGGCTTACTTGTTGTGGTTGAGTGGTTCAAATCCAAATCCACTGAACTGCTAAAATTTAATTTGATAATTTTTGCTCCCCTTCCAACGTCAACCAAGTCCTGCGCCTTGCTTCCCCCCTATTGACAGTAGCTCAGTTGAGAAGGCAGCGAGCCAAACCGAGCATGAAAGTTTCGGGTGAAAGTTTGGGCTAGCTTTTGCCGAGCTCAAGGTATGTGCAGAGGCTGACGAAAGGCTTTCAATAGCTGGCCAAGATTCGACCAACTCGAGGACCCAGGTTTGGCTATAACTGTAGGGAGGTGTCAGGACCCTTGCGGGAAGAGCTCGCTGGAAATCGCGATCCAACGTTTTGTGGGCTGGAATGCCAACCAAACCAAACCAATCACTCCCGGCTTTGTGTGAGGTCCCGTTCCAACGGGGTTCCTTAACGGATACAATCTTGGCAACAACAAGACACATGTATCAGCTTCCAAGGGTTTCTGCCTGTCATTACCCGTGCCTGTCATTACCCGTGCCTTGTTGGGGTGTATTTCTGACCAACAGGCTCCCAATTTCGATGGTTTCTTTCACAGGGAACCCGGGTTTGCTCCGAATGGCCAAAGTAGAGTCTAGAGTCAGAGAAGTGGCGAAGGGTTCTCCAGGTTTCCTTTCCGAGGGGCCCAGCTTGCGGCAAACTTCAGACTTGTGGTCTAGGGTAAGGAGAGGCCCAAAGACCCAACCAACTTGTCCAGTCATTGCAGGTTCATGTCGGATTGGTGTCTTCAAAAGGAAATGCCTGGCTCTCGGCACCGGCAGATTGGGATTGGGGTATGCGTGAAGTTGTTTGGTGGGCGTGTCTCAGAATGAATGGTTGACCTCCCCCAAGGAAGGAGGTCTCAAACAAATCCAACTCTCTAACAATTGTTGACACATCGCTAAAAACAGCGGTTGCAAGCAGGGAGGTGCCAACCCCCTGTCCCATGTATTGACTCTCAACGCCGAGTACATGTCTCCTCTGGGAAGCTCGCAACTCCCCCCGGTTCTTCATATAAGAGGCGAACGAATTACTAACAGGTTATTCTTCCAATTCTGGCTAAGTTTGGTTGCAAACTGCTCCTCCTATGCCGAAATTTGGTTCCAAAGTACCCCAGCCCCATTTGAGTCACAATCAAAATCCGGGTAAGTGAAGGTTAGTCAGGGACCATCCCAGCCATAAATAGCTGCGGATATCCGCCTTCTTAATTCTTGAAGCATGGTTCCAGGTCGACCATTGGGTTTTGATTCTGACTCATTTCAAGTCTTCAGGCCTTCCCCTTCCTGCGATGCGCAGGTGTGCTTTCCGGGCGCACGGTGGCCCGCCAGGCGTGAGGGGATCGAGAGCTTGCCCCAGCCATGTCCCGTTTTGGGAACCGCCAGGTGAAACGGACACCAGCAACTTGACATGTCCCTTTTTGCTTTTTACTTTGTGGCTTTCTTTTTGCCCAATTCGTTTTTCTGTCCCGAAATTTCCAAACCAGGGTGTCCTCCATGTTTCCTGGAAGCTATGGGGGTACCACCCGGAAAAAAGGGCAGCGGTTGATTTGGGGACATTTTCGTGAGCTCCTGTCGACAGATCGAGAGATCCAGTGCGCCTGGCAGGAAGCCGAAAGTCCAAAGAGACCGCAAGAAAAGGATTCACCAATTCCTGAAGGACTTGATTCCGATGTTCTGATGGACCAACTTGCTTTGTGTTGTTGACTTGAACAAAAACATGCAGAGCCGGGGAAGAGGGGTGGGCAGGCTGTTCGTGTTTTTTCAGGGCCCGGTACTTTGTGAGGCTCGTTTCAAAGGAAGGAAGGGCACACTTTGTGTGGGATCCCAATTTGTTTAACACTGGTAACCCAAGCCATCCAAATCATACTCCATTTGCCTGACGGATTTGCCCCACATCCGAGTGGGGCTGAAGAACCTCCTGATATATGGATTGAAGCTATCTTCAAAGGGCAAACACAGGGTAGGTGTGGGGCAAGCAATAGCGGCAAACCCAGGTGACAAGTTGCCCTCCGGGCCGGGGATTTTGCGACCGTCGACCTATTGTCTTCAACTCCCTTGGTTCAAACCAGGAACCAGTGGGTTGAACACCGGCATGGCCACTGGTGTGCTGGGACCCTCTTGCAATTGACCCCGACTTCTGCTTCGATGCTTCGACACGGGTTTTTTAGCTCACGGTGTTCTGCTTCAGGAGCGGGGTTCGGATCCAAGATCCGGCGATGGAAGCCCGTGAATGCAACAAAACCCACAGGCTTTGCCTGTTGACACGCGGAAATTCAGCTCTAGGGGCTTCCTGAAATGTTGGGCCAGAAGACCTGATTCCACATCCCTTTTGGTTGAACACAGGTAGCGCTTTCTACACTCACTGGCTTTTGGGGAGAAACCGACCAGCGGTCAGAGTTTCGTTTTATGAAAAGCATCGTCTGGTAAATTGGGAAACCAGCCCTTAACTAGGTCCCCAACTTATTCTAGCCTCTCAAATCTGGAGAACCTAGTTAACCAAAGCACCGGGCTCCAAACCACTAAACCACTCGGCAAGCTGAGTGATAGGCTGGCTATAGCTTCGGGGTGAGCAAGCTCGACGAGCACCAGGATCTGCTCACGGCACAGAAGGCGCGACCGGCTCCCGGCTCCCGGTGCGGCTCAAGGGGAGCTCCAGGCGGACCTCCAATGGCCAGTGGACCTTGGCTTCCATTTGGTGTTAAGAATATGTGTTTTTAAAGGGAATCGATTTCACCACTGGAACTATGTTTGTTTTGTTTTTTCCTGGGGACGGAAACGCAAATGGAGGTTGGTGAAACCAAGCCAGAGATGCTTAAATCCCTATATGGAACAGGGAGCTGACATTGGTTGGGTGCCCTTTTGGCCGAACATTGGGAAGGCCTGCTTTCGACTGTTGTTGCCTTGTCGCCCGAGCAATCCCCTGAGCAAATCAACTTTGCCACCATAGGTGTCCTTTTTGGGTTAGTTTGGTTAAAAATAGATGGCACTGGTTTAGATGGGGTTTATTCCATTCACCAGGGCCATCTATTTTTTCAAAAGGCCACCTATGTTTGCCACATTCCTCATTCGCGCCGAACACCGCAGCGATTTGGCTTCGACAGCACTGTCCCTCGCCTCCGTTCGTGTCCGCTCTTATCGTGATGACCTTCTTCAAGAGCTTGACGCCTTGCCAGACTTGGGTTTGTTTTTTTGATGGGAACCCTTATAGGGTGGTGTAAAAAAGGGATGCCAAAAGCGAGAAATCACTATAGTTTGGTAGGGGTATTCTATCTCAAGACAAACTGCGCTTGGCTTCCCTTTCGACTCTTTTCGGGCCTCTCGGGTTTCCAGCGATCGCCTGGGAGCAGGAGGGTCTGTTCGCCAGCTTTGAGAAAATTGGCGACCCCCTCAAGGAATCCTTCACTACCAGGGGGTCGATCCCTCCCACTAACATAGCACCTGTTGGAGGGTACCTGGAAGATCACTTCAAATCACTTTGCTCTTGAAGGCGCCCTCTGTGTGCCATGTTCGCGGGAGGGTAGTGGAACTCCGAGAAAGCCGAGGATGCTGTGCGGGGCAGCGGCGGCGTCGGCCTCGCTCAGCCCGGGGGACTGCGCCTTCGTGGCGGTCTTTGCAGATGAGCCCAGCCAGTTTGGCCTTCTCATGCTGAAGGCCCGGCTTTCGCGGCTCGCTGACTCGCTCGAGCAATTGGTGCCCAACTCCCGAAAAGCATCTCTCACCTGTTTCAATTTTTTGGGGAAGGGAGGGGTCCCCGACTAAAATAGACCAAGCCGAAAAAAATGTTGGCACCCCTGGCTTCGGGGGCTTCAGGGGGGGGCTTTGGAATGGGTGGGAATGAGGCGCCGGGGGCGTTTGCGCGCGAATCGGGGGATTGGGAGGTGCTTGGGAATGGGTGGGAGTGGGGGAACAAAGGCGTCCAAGGGAGGGGGGGGTTGCGTGGGAGAGAGGCGTTGGTGGATTCTGTACATGTGAATCCCCTCGAAGCGTCGCCCCGTTTCTCGGTCAAAGTCGAAGCCGTAGCTCCGAACGTTTGAGCCCTTCGTCAGAACCGCAATGGAGCTTCCTTGTGGACTTTGGGGGATTTGGAGGCTTATGTTTTTTGAAGGGTTGCCTTTGGTCCTTGCTGGGTCAACGTTTGGTGACGTGACAGTTCTTGCATTGACGTGTTCTTACATACTTTTTCTCCCTTGAAGCTGTTCATTGTATTTTCTTGGGTTGCCAGGGACAGTCATGGGTCCGATAAGGACTTTAGACCATCATGCGGTCCTCTTGGGTTGCCAGGCCACAGCACCTGGCGCATGTTTAATTAAACAGCTTCTTTTTGATATATATATATATATATATATGTAATATACATATGGTACCCACTTCACAGTCCCCCCAGTCTGTTCTGGACGAAAACCTGAGTATTTCAAGGCGGGGGGTAGCATATATATATATATATACACACACACGCTGTATATGCAATATTCATTGATTATATCTGTCTACTGTAAGCCAAGAATTCGGAGAGAACGTTTCAGTGGACCCGAAATGTTCTGAGAAAATATGGCTAGCATCTGAAGACATGGCTGTGGGTCAAACATGGGAAGTTCCCATTTTGGAACCCTAGTAAATGGAACCAAGGACTAAAACCTGCGGTCTGCTAGTGCTTTAATTTTGACCCATACCCACATGATCTTCTCCAAGTCGTAAGCCGAGCACGGGTCGGTTGCCTGAACCTTCGAGGACACCGCAGGCGAAAAGATCTTTGTGACCGACAGCTTGGGCGAGGACCCGGATGGTTTACTCATCGTCTACTCCAATTGAAATCAACCGGGAACCCTAAGAAAGCTCTTCCCCCCAAACAAATGGGAGACTCCTCTAAAAACTGCAGATGTGTTTTGGGTTTCCAATCTTAAAGTGAAGGGGAGCACTTTTTTGTTTTTTTTCAAGAATAAATATATAGTTATCTTCAACATTTTGAGACCTCCAACAGTGGCGACGGTTTAAGAAGAGACCGCGCTCTTTGCCCATGCCCCCAACTTCTGATCCAAGGTTTCGTTTCGAACCCCGTCAGAATTCGAATCCCTCTGAGCATCAGGGACCTGCTGAACATTTCCTGGTGGTTTTCGGGGGCGGCTTTTCTACTGATACCTTCCATTTCCAATCTGAACCCAGGGATCCGAATCTTGTTAGGAAACCATCAAAAACCAGGGAAACAGATCCGGTTTTTGAAAAGAGCGATTGAAAAGAATGGTTGGAATCAACCCCTAGAGCTTTCTATGGAAATCGGGGGAGCACCTCGAACTCTTGAGGTCCCTAAAGGGAGCTAACTGCCCCCCACATCATTGGCTAGACTCTTTATGGCATATGTTCCAGCTGTTTTTTTAGTTTCGTGTTTGATCGGGGGCTAGAAAAGCCAAAGATGTTCTTGTGCAGATTTCATTGGTTTGCTCCCACCAGCCCCTCCGCGCCCCTTAAGGCGTCTCCATCTTGCAGGTTCCTCCATTGACACTTGACGGGCGGTTTAGGCAGGACCCTTTGGTTGTGGAAGATCGAGTTTTTAGTTTGCTTTCTGTGATACCAAGGGATCGACTGAAAAGTGAGAATGTAGTCTTGGGAATGACCCATATAGGTATCGGCTTTCCACAGCCATGCCCTTGTGGGAAAGGCCGGAGTGTGATGTTGACAGAGGAATTATCATGCGTCTTTTAATGGATTCATTGTTTTCCACGCATTTTTTGTGTAAAGCTTAGTTCCTTTTTGTTTGTCAAGGCATCCTTCCCCTCCCACAAACACAGCAATTGTGGGAGGGTACCTGAAAGATCTGTTTCCTCTTGGAGGAATCAAATGGCTGTGGGTCAAAACGCGGCACCCCTGGTGAACATCAAAATAGGTGGTACATGGGTGTTCATCCGCCCCAAAATGGAGGCATAGGTTGTGACCCATGGCCACATATTAGGTGGCTTGTTGCAGTTGGGTGCAAGTAGATGGCACAATCCTCCCCCCCATTTCAGCTTGGAGAGGCAAGAGGAATCCAAACTGGACCCTAACAGGGTTTTTACTTCCCCGAACCATCGCCAATTCAATTCTGGGGTATACAACCCGCCATGTAAACACAGTACGTAAAGCCTTGTTTCATCTAAGGCTGCCTAATTCTTTGGACATCCACTCCGCCAGTGCGGAAATTTGTGCGACGGCCATTCTTCTCCCGTTGCTTCTTCCGGGCAGCTTCGATCGGTTTGCCCAGCGCCGGACCGCTGGACCCAGCGCGAAGCGCGTCCCTCGGTGCCTCGGTGGCGAGGACGGGACGCTGCCGCAGGCCAACATCCGGGAGTTCGCCTCTGCCGTAAGCGCGGGCACCGTGCTGCGCCAGTCCAGCTTCAAGAAGGCGGCAGGCGGCGGTGGGTTGAGGGCGGTTGGGGGCGGGTGGTGGCAAAAAGGGGGGCGGGGTTCAGCCCCAAAAAGGAGTAAACAAGGGGGGGGGGTGAAAGTTGGGGAAAACAAGATGGGCATCGGCTTCTATAGCAACGGAATATTTTCAAGTGGTAAAGAAGATTGTTTTTTTTGGGTGGCCGTGGGGTGCAGAGGGAGTGATGGGATGGCGGTAGGGATGGCGGTAGGGATGGGGAATGGCGTGAGGGTAGCATGGTGGTTTGTTGTTTTGCTCCACTGAGCTCTAGCCCAGTGAAAGATTAATCTACCTGTGCCTCCTTCGTTGTGGCTTCTGCGGGTTGGTAGCTTTTCCACTCCAAAAGCCGGGGTTTCTTGCTGGCCCCAGCTGATTGATTGGATCGAGCACACGCCTCAGGGATTCCCCTTTTGAAAGCTGCTCCGACTTCTCTTTTCTTTTTTTTGTGGCAGGGGGGGGGGAATCAGAATGTCCAATGCCCCCTCTTGCGGCCTTAGGCATCTTAGGCCTGGCAAGGCCAGCATGACTCAAGATGATCTCTGGGCAGGGAATGAGACATGGAGCCCCCGGTCACCCCGAGATCGAAACCATCCAAGGGGTGTCCTTCAAGGGGATCGATCCCACCGGTTCAGCGATAGCTATCGCACCAGCCACGTCTTTTGGACCAAGTTGGAAGACATGGTTGGGAAGTGTTGCAGGCAGTTTCAACCAAGGGTAATTATCACAGAAGTGGAGAGGCAATTCCATGGTTTTGACCGCATCCTTGCATTTTCCCTTGGACAAGGGACCAGGGGTAGTTTTTAAGCAAGGTTGCTTGCAGTCTCCTCAATTTGGAGCTAGACAACATATCCAGCAAAATCCTGACTTGTGATTTCAGTACACACTTCTATTTGCAAAAGAAATGCTTCATTTGTTCTGTTGGCAAAGGGAGCCTATATCACTACTGGTCAGTATGTTTGTCGAATCAATATGTGGCTCAAAAGTCAAGACCTGGGATTTTTGCTTCCATGTACCTTTGGGTAACACCTTGGGTACCTTGTTTTTAAGCCACAACCGGATGTCTTTCCACCTCCCAAGACACGTTTCATTTGTCGTCCTTTTTGAGCCACAACCAGATTTTTTTTTCCGGTTTCCTTTTTTTTCCCGCCGTCTTTTCTTTTTGAATCAACATGTTTTGAACTCAACCACATCCAGGAGGGGGGATCCGGGGGCCCCTTCTTTTTGCACGCCCGCTCGGGTGGTTTTTTTTTGCGCCCAGAAACCGGGCGCTCGGCTGCCTCGTCAAGCCCGGGATTGACCGGGGCCGGGCCGAGCGCCAGGCACGGAGATCAGCGGGGACAAGCTGATCGCCTTCACCGGCTCCTGGTCGGCGCCGAAGCCCATCTGCTCAGTGCACATGCGCCTCGTTGGTGGAAGGGGGTGCTGGCCCTGCGGCGCGGGGGCGCGTGTTTTTTTTTTTGGTTGGGGGGTTTCTTCTTTTTTTTGGGGCCTTTTGTTTTTTCTTCTTGGGTGGCGATCTTTCTGCGCAGCAGGTGCATTGAAAATTTGGGCCTTCGGGGTGTCCATCGGGGAGTTTTGAGAAGTGTTTGAGTAAAAGGAGTCCTTAGAGCTTAACCCTTCGGCAGACTTTCAGCCGTTGCTAAACTAGCGTCGGCTTCCCGACCGGTGAAAGTTTCCACCCCGCAACGGGCATGCATTCCCATGGGTTTTCGCAACAAGCAGCAAAAAAGTTCTAAAAAGGGAACCATTTCAATAAATAGATAAATCAATACATATAAAAAAGAAATATATATATATATATATACAGAGGGAACCCCAGAACCCGGAAAACTCTTTGCCCTTCTGCGCGAGAGGGCGAGACTGGAGCCAAAAACGACCGACCCAAGGAGCGAGAAGGCGGAGAAGGGTCGGCTGCTCTCCGGGCTCGAGGCGAGAGAGTGAGCCGGGAAGCGTGGGGGCGTGGCCCAACAAAAAGGCGTGTCCCATTTTGTTGAGCATATATAAGTGTGTACATAAATAGGTGAACTTACATGTAAATATATACATAAATAAATCAATACATGTATATACAGATATATATGTATATATATATATATATATATATTGTAAACACAAAAAGTAAATGAATAAACAAACACATAGAAACAAATAATATATATATATATATATACCTAGAGATTCCAAAAGGGTCCAAATTTTGGTAGATTCATGAATTCATACCTTTTTCCACCAAACGGCGAACTTTGGGACTTCCACCATTGCAGCGATTTGTGACAAACATTCACCATTGAAGATCATTGTGGACCATAACTGCCTTTCCATGGTTCCTCTTGCTATGGAACCGAACAAGAATTGGGACTTATGCTCTGGGGGCATCCAGAAGCATTTGGCTCCTCCCGGACCTTTGCGGACCTTGCTCGGAGCGTGCGCCCTTCCTGCATCCTTTTTTCGCTGAACTCAGCGCAGCTATCGAGCAGGTACGTGCGATGGCCGATGACTCTCCCTTCAAAAAGCCCAGGCTTGGTATCACAGGAGTATGCAATTGGGCTTGTTAGGCTTTCAGGCCATCAGCGTGCTACCGCTGGGGTTGCCAGCTGTGAGACGCAGTATCAGTAAAGAAACAAAAGGGAATCCGAACGCACTTTCAGTTCAATTTGTTGACTCAGTTTTTGGGGACGCGAGTCATTTAGGCACCTGTGTCCTCTTCGCAGCCTTGCCACTCAGCCCGCGGGGCTTCCAACCTTGGTGCGATGTCCAGGCAAGATGGGCTTTGGCAAACGCTGGAGCGCAATGACTTGTTGAGGAGGCGTGCGCGGCAGAATGGGCAGCTTACGGTGTGGGCCAGTCGTGAGGTGACTGGCCAGGGCAATAACAAGAACTGTTGCTTAAATGAAATCCTCCTGGTGGTCACGGCGCAATGGTGGGCCGCGATCCAACCAAAACCATGTGCAGTGCCAATAGACATCATGCGCCAGCAGGTGCGGGTTGATGCAAACAAGTACCACGAAACCGCGTCTCTGTGGAATTTTGCATTGCGTTCTGCAAGTCGAAGTGTCTTGAGATCCCTGAAAAGGTCCGAAGGTTTCGCCACGAAATGGTCATGGAATCCAATGATTCCCTTGTATCCTTGGATGCCTGGGGTATGAAGAAAATGTTCAGCTACTGCACCCGCCGCTGGATGGAAGCAGACCATCCGCGCGTGCCACAGTTTATCGAAAATCAAGCTTTTGCAAAGCTTATTTGGTGCTTCTAGTTCTCGTTTGGAATTATTATTGCCCTGAATGCTTCGGTTGAGGATGAGAGGCTCTCTTGTGTGTGGGAAATCTTTGACCTGTACTGGGGAGAGCGAGGAGGCCTTGATGGGGAAGAGCAAGATTCCTTGGAGTCCCGGGAGCCTCCCTTGCTTGCTCTTGAGGATGGTCATGTGGAAGTGGTTGATGGCTACGACGACCCCGAAGCTTTTCAACTGCCAGGGGATGCCCAGGTGAACCCCAACCCCCCTACCCTTCGAAGATCGGACACCGCCCCCGCCTCGCCGCCCATGTCGGCAAGCCGCATGGATGACGAAGCTCGCCAGCGAGTTGTGGAGCGCATCGCCCTCCTGAGGCACGCGTGGGTACTAGCGTTTAATCTGAAATTATTATTTTGCTTTTCTGAGGATGTTGGGGTACAGGGAGTGGTGGTTGTGAATTTTGGATCCAAGCCTACACAGGCAACAACTTGCAGCCGCTGCGCCACCTGCAGCTCATGCCCCTCCAGCACAAGGAGTGGCGGGTAGCTGCAAACAATCCAACAATTAGGCTTTTGTACTCAACCCCAGTCTTGCATGGGGGACCAGGAATGGACGCGGCAGACACGCTGCCTTACAACATGGCGACTGAACCTTGGGTGCCTCCACTTGTGGGGCTTCAACGGCTGTCCGTGGCGCCTCCTGAAGAAGACCTTCCGCCAACCCAGGACCCTTTCCACGGCGAAGCGCCACCAGAGGAAGATCCAACTTCAGAGCCAGCGCTCATGAAGCTTGCTGAAAACAAGGCTAAGAAGGCCGAGCTCATGCAAACCATTCGCCTGGCAAGGCAGGCCTTGCGAAAGTTGGGCTTCACAGCCGAGGCTGAGGAAGCCAGCTCCTGTGGGGCTAAAGACCAAAAGAGCTCTATGGCAAAGGTCATGCCGAGTGAGGCTTTTAGCCCTGCCAACAAGGTCATCAACGGCGACGCGCCGAACGCCAGCGCGGACAGGGTGGCCGCCAACACCAGCAAGGACAAGGTGACTGCCAACACCAGCAAGGACAAGGTGACTGCCAACACCGGCACGGACAAGGTCATCGCCGAAACCAGCATGGGCAAGGCGGCCGCCGACGGCAACATGAATAACGTGGCCACCAACGTCAGCAAGGAGGAGGTCATCGCCGACACCAACATGGACAAGGTTCCCGCCGATGCCAACACGGACAAGGTCGTCGCCGACACCAACATGGACAAGGTGGCCACCGACGCTTACATGGACAACATGGCCGCCGACGCCAGCACGGACAAGGTTGTCGCCGACACCAACATGGACAACATGGCCGCCGACGCCAGCACGGACAAGGTTGTCGCCGACACCAACATGGACAAGGTGGCCGCCGACGCTTACATGGACAACATGGCCGCCGACGCCAGCACGGACAAGGTTGTCGCCGACACCAACATGGACAAGGTGGCCGCCGACGCTTACATGGACAAGGTGGCCGCCGACGCCAGCACGGACAAGGTCGTCGCCAACATCAACATGGACAACGTGGCCGCTGACACCGGCGCAGACAAGGTGACCGCCGACGCCAACATGGACAAGGTGGCCGTCATCGCCAGCAAGGACAAGGTGACTGCCAACGCCAGCACGGACAAGGTTGTCGCCGACACCAACGCAGAGCAGGTGGCCGCCGATGCCAACGTGGACAAGGTGGCCGCAGCAGACGCCATCAGCGCGATTGATGCCCCCGTGGGCCAGGAGTTCAAGCACCTTGCCTCCGATGACCAACAGCTCAGCCACAAGGCGTTGAACAGCGACACAGCCGGTGACCAGCTCAGCAGCGACGGGTACGAGGTGGAGGGTGGCACGCTGGCGCATTGCGACAAGGAGGTGAAGCTCGCAGTGGACGGGGAGCCGGATGCTGAAGTGGAGGTGCTGGACAACAAAGCGGCCCCTTTAGAGGAGCTGGAGGCCCTTCCCTTTCCAACGCTTTTCAGAAATTTACTCGTGGCGTCAGGATCCTTTTCCTGGCACATGAATGATGTCCACAAAAAAACCCCAACCGACATGCATCCCTGCAGGCACGGCTGGTCACACGTGAGGAGCAGATGGAGGCCGCCTTGACCAAGAGAGGGAAGAAGAAAAGCAAAGGAGGCAGTGGGCAGGGCAAAGCAAACAAGAAAAGCCGTGACCAGGGAGACGTCGTCGACCTCGAGGCGGAGAGCGGCGACGACACAGCCAACGAGCGCAACCTGCCTGCCAAGGCCAATGGCAAGGCCAAGGGCAAGGCCAAGAGCAAGGCCAAGAGTAGAGACGCGGACGACGCCAAGATGCACAACACTGGCACGGGCAAGGGAGAGGATGGCGAGGCGACGAGGGCCTTCCAGCCTGCAGCTGCCGCGGCTCCAAGTGACACTCAGCCTGAGAAAGCTGATTCTTCAAAGCGACCAAGGGCAACTGCAAAAGCAAAGTCGAAAGCCAAATCCAAGCCCCAAGACTTGCTGACCAATGCCGATGAGGGACAGGGTGGCGCCGAGCTGCCCGCCCCGCCCACCAAACGGAGGCGCTCCGCTGACGGAGTCACGGCAACCTTCGCGAGGCGCTACGTTCCCAAGGCACCCGCCAAGAAAGACCAGTGGAACGCGATGAAGCTGGTTTTCGAGAACCACGTCAAGCCCCGTGTCCAAAGAGCATCCTCGTTGGAGGACAAGTTGCGGCAAGTTTCCCCCAACACGTAGCGAGGACCCTTTGAACAGGGGATTTCAACTCCCATGCGCTGGACCCAAGTCCCAAACACCAAAACAGTCTGTTCTTTACTTCAGAATTGCGCATTCTCCTTGGAAACCGTGTCCGTTTGTCACAGGAGCCGTTCCTTCACCTGTGCACCAACGATGCGAACTTCCGGGCAGCCACCACTTATGAAGAATACGTGGCAGCGGCAATGATTTTGCAGAGCACCTTCCACTGAATCTCGGCTCAAATTGGCGTCAGGAACTTCTCTTTCTGGTCTTTTCAGGTCATCTTTTCCTTTTGGCAGGCTCTGCAGAGCCAGTGGACTCTCCTCCTACAAAGTCTTCGTCTGGCAAAAGCGCCAGCGAGAGCTCAGGTTGAAATCCTAGGTAGAGCTGGGTGATTTGGGGTCTTCAGCTCAACCGTGGTATCTCGACACTTATCACTTATCCCTCACCCGTCCTGCAGGGGGTGGTCGATGGATCCAGTCTCGGCTAAGCCTGGGAGATTGCAGGAGAGGGCCGATGCGCAACAAAGTGCGGAAAAAACACAGCTGCTCGCAGTCGCCTGAAAATGAGGGGTCCGGTTGGCGAAGTGTTTGTGGCCCAAAATGTCCTGCGAAGGGGGCCTTATTGAGGTTTGCACACTTGCGTGCGTAGATTTGCGGGGTTCGCTCACCCGCCCCGTTGGCAGGCTGAGACCTGGGCGTGCGTGTCAGCATGGGCAGGCCTGAGAGCATCAGGAGCTTTGCTTGGCGATTGCATCTTCCTGTAGGCGAAAGGCGTTACCTCATTGCTTGGTGGTGAGCGGCTTTGCCCAAGAATTCGGCTTGGAAGGCCACGTCGGCCTGTTTGCCAAACATGTCAAACAGTTTGCAAAGCTTTGATGTTTGATGCACAGTGGAAACATTGCCGTCCCCGCAGCCATTTCCGTGGTGTTAGTTACGATACAAGCTGGGGCGACGGAGCCTGTGCAATTTCGCTTAATGATGTGGAGGCTTTTTCTTATGGGTTGCCCGTTGGAGCCTTGGAGCAAGACTCATGCACTTCGTGTTCTGATTTTGCTCTCCGTGTCTCAGCTCAGGACTTCTTGTGGCTCGTCGTCTTCACGAGCTGGATGGACTTGTCCCCGCACGACCTCAGAGCTCTGAAGCTTTCGGTGCTGGAGCTATTCGCTGGGTGTTCGCGAATTGCAAAGACTGCCAAGCGTCGGGGCTGGTCCTCCCGAGCCTATGAGATAAATTTCGACAAGGGCTGGAACAATCCGGGGAAGAGGGACAAACGAGGAAAAAAAAAAAGATCGTTCATGGACATGAATGGCCAAGCAGGTCTGGCGCACCTTGGCGGACCAACAAAAAGAGACTCATTCTAGGAACAGCTTTGCTTTTTCTTTGGGCTTGTTGGTTTGTGAAGCCCTGGCCTGGAAACTGAGGCTGGCTGTGTCCCTCCTTTTGGCAAGCCAATGGGGAGGATCCCTGACAACGATTGCCGTTGTCTGTTCAACCTTCGTTCCGGTCAATTTGTTCACAAGCCAACGTGACGCACTGACCCCGCTCGGGGCCCAGCACATCACCGCGGTGCGACAGGGAAATAAGCAAACATCGAGGCCGGCCCACAAATTTGCATGCGATTTGATTGCATGCTCCGCAATGACAATGCGCAGGTGCGCCCTCTTAATCGCACTCATCACTGCCAAAGATTCGAGTTGGCTGCTTGAGAATCCGGGCGGCAGCACAATTCTAGCTCACCCCAGGCTCCAATGGCTCTTCGGTATTCTTGACAAGATGGGCCAAAAAGCGCCTTTGCCAAATTAAGTAGCTTGTGGCCTGCGGCAGCCTTGCTGCTGGTTCACATCCAAGGTGCAGAAACCAACATTCTGGATGAAGAGATTTGGATCTAAAACTGCAAAGAGAACCCTGATGGTTGGAAACACCAAATTCTTGTCAAAGCTTGATCGGGGGAGAATGCGCCGTGCCCAGCTACAATCCTTGCCTCAGCATGCTACCACACGACGTTATGAAGATTCACGTGGCCAAGCGCGCTTTGCCGGCAACGCCGCCTTAAAAAAACACAGTGCCTTGGCGCGATGAGGGCAGTTGTTGACAGCTTGGTTAAGGGAGTATACTCCAGCTTTTGCAGCAGCAATACTGGACCTCTTCCCCTCCATGATTGAAGAAGATCGCTCTCTACCAGTGAGAGAGGCTTTGCCTTCAGTCGAGGGGGGGAAGGAATCCTTTGAATCACATCCCAATCTAGACCCACCGCATGCCAATAAAAATCCACGAAAGCTTGGGCATGAGAATTTCCACACTTGTGAACGCATAATCGAAAAAGCTGGGGATGATCAAGATGCAGGGTTCCTGAGATCCTTTGGAGGGGCTTAAAGAAGGCGGGGGGGGGGGTGCCCAAAGCCGGAACTGCAAAGGCCACCGGACAAAGAGAAGTTGAACACGACGAGGAAAGCCTCGAATAGAGATGGGCGTTGGGGCGTTGCCGCGCCCACGGATTCGTTCAGTTATGCATTTTTGGACCATATGTTCCCAACACAAAAAGCACCTTAAACATAGTGTTTCTCTTCAATCTGTTTCCCAACGCAGAAAAGGCACTTCAGACACAGGGCTGGTTTGACAAGTGTCGTTTTGCTTGTTCACGGGGCTGTTTTTAGAAGTGCCTTTTTTGCCCTTTTTGGATCTGTTTCCTAACGCAGAAAGGGCACTTTGAATGTGGTTTGTTTGTTTCATCTATTCCCAAAGACGGCAAAGAACACTTGTTAAACAAGTTGCTTGCCCCCGCAGAATCCCAGAAGCTTTCATGTTTGGATTTGCTTACGTGGCGTTTTTTTAACAAGTACCGCCGCTTGCCTTTTTGCACCTGCTTGAGTTGTCCCAATGCGAAAGGGCACTTCGAACAAAGGAGACCAAGGTCATTTACATTGGCTGGTTTACAAGTGTTTCTTTGTTGTATACAGTAATGTTATTAAGAGAGGTCATGTGGTGCAATTTTGCGCACAGTGTGAGAAACCACTTCTCACAAGCTTTGGGGTATGAGAACTTGGAAAACCCTTGTCATACTGTTTATGGGAGACTTACCCTCAACCCCCCCCCCCCCTTCACACTTTTTGGGGTACTAGAAGCTCACCCTTGAAATCTCCTTTTCGTGCTTTTTCGGGTACGGGAGGTTTCTCCTTGAAACACATTGTTTTTGGAGTATTCGGACCCCTTTTTTCTGGCACCAGACCTTGCTCTTGGATTCCTGTTTCGCCCTGGGGTGTTGAGAACTCTTTCATTGGGCGGGCGCCACGCTCTCACTGTTTGGGGTATGAGAAACAACACATTTCCTCAGCGCAAAGGCAAACTGTTCTACACTTGTGATTGAGAAATGCAGGACAGAAGTATGTCTTGCAAATGCCGATCGCTAAGTCCAGGCCAAGGGTAACTCTTTACTGTGGCGCCGGGTCTTTCCAAACTCTGCAAAATCTTCTAGAACTGGGCTACGAGTTCTGGCCAGCAACAGGCCTGAAAAGCAAAACACCATTCCCTGCATTGTGTTGAGCAGTGACACAAAGGGTTCTCCTTCTCAGAAAGCTTGCCAGAACTGCGATTTCAACACCGAGCTGGCCGTCTGAGGATGTGTCTGAGGCAGACTTGCGGGCGATGTTCACGGCTGCTCCTTGGACTTCCTGGCCTGAGGCGGATGTGAGCGATGCCTGCATTTACCTCCGGGCTAGCTACCGTTTGAAAATTCCATCGGACTGGGCTCCAATAGTTCCGTCCCTTGAAGAGTTCCAAGCTCGGAGGGCTGCCGAGCCTGCCTGAGAGGTTTTCACAACAGGGGCCTGCCCGAAGTGATTTTTGAATCGGCGATCTTTGCCGGTCAAGCGGCGATCTTTGCCGGTCAAACGGCGATCTTTTGCGAGCCATTTTTTGGGGTGTGTTGACAACACTTTGGGTCGCGCCTAGCGGCCTCTCTCCCCTTAAACCTCCCACGCGGCGACACCTTTCCGAGAATCAACAGATATTACTAAGTTCTGAAGCCACGAGGTCTGGAGGGGAAATTTGCGCCGCTTTGGGAAAACCGTAGGTTCATGGTTGTGTGGATGCGTCCACGCGATGGCAACAGGGAAGTTGTGGCGCTGTTGCTGCTTGTGCCTGAAACCTCCTTGTTTTGGCACTGACGCGCCTTGTGCCAACCATGGAAGGAACAGGCACTCGGACATGGTCCGCAGCGACCTTGCTGCGTGGAGCAAGCGCTGTGATGGCCCAATCCCCCATGCTTACAACTTCGGATGAAGATCTTCTTCGAGAGTTGAAGGCTACATTTAGGGTTTGACAGCATTGCCCCTTTTTCGGGCTCCACCTCCCCCGACGCACGCTAGTTTGTCGGTTCCCCTCAAAAGACACCCTTGCATGATGCCGACTTGTTTCCCCAGTTTGGGGGATGAAGCATCGCAAGTCTGTTGCCAATTGAACGGGCAATTGGTAAAGGACCCCTGTAGGCACTTCGTTTTTGATCCCTACGCCACCCCTGTTTGTTTTGGAACAGGGCCAGTTAGTAAATCACAGATTTCAGACAACGCACTCACGCAAAGAGTGATCGAATATTTTGTAACAAAGCCATGTCTCCCGAAGCCCTTGGGACAGCCTATGTTTGCAGGGCCCATTTGAAGATATCGCTTGGTCGCTGGACGCAAATTTTGTGAGGGTCTTTTTAAGCTTTGGGCTTCCCGAAGCTGACCTTTTGACGAACCCAGAGTCAATGACAAGGGCCACGAGGCACAACGCGCAGCCTAATGAAACAACATATTTTAAGTTTTTCTTTTGGTTGCGAAATGCTCGACAGTCCACGAGGGCTCCTCCTTGCCCAGAAAGTAGGCAAGATCCCCAAAACGAGTTGTAGTGAAGTGTTTTCACCTTTTCCTGGTTACCCAGCACGGACAAAATGCAAAGAAGCAGTGTAAGAGTTAAAGCTTTGTTGGGTCATCTGGCTCCAAAGGCAACTTTTACAAGCCC